AGTGAATATTCTTGCTGATAAGTTGCTGAGGCTGCCGTAATTCTATTAAAGTAAACAGTTACTCAGAAGATAGAAACTGGCATGTGGCTTCATTCCTGTGTATACCTCCTCAACTTTGGAGCTGGAGGCTTAGTTATTTCTCTCTCTCTCTCTCTCTCTCTCTCTCTCTCTCCCTCTCTCTCTCTTTCATTCCTGTACTTTCTTCTCTTTCCTTTCCTTGGGTATTAGTCTTTGTTCTGGAGTTAACCGTACTATGAAAGATTTACTTTTGCATTGTTATCTCAGTGGCCTTCTACAGTATGACTTCTCTTTAGCGTTTTCTCAGCTGTGTGAGTCTGAATGGAGTTCTCTGGGTTCTGAGCATCAATCACCTCGCCATTTTCTCTCCTCAGATTCGGCACATACTATGCCTTCCCAGCTGCTCCAGTACTGTTGCTTTTAGCTGTTCACTTTGTACTACACTAAACTGTCTAGAAAACAAAGGCATTCATATACCTGTAATCTATAAGATATTTAAAAAATATAATAAAATGTAATGACAAATGCCCATGGTATGATTTAACTGAGGTAATATATTCCTAGGGAGGTAACAAGCATTACAGGACAAGAATTAAAGTTTTTAATTATTTTTTATTTTTATTTTTTTAAGAATTATAATTTCTTGAAACCCTATTCAACTAGTATAGAGCTTTGAACACAGTAGGCAGAGTAAACATATATGCGATGAATGAATTTTTTTTCTTTTTTTTTTTTTTGGCAGAACGAAGGATTGAACTCAGACCCTTGCACTTATCAGGGAAGCGCTTATTCTACTGAGCCATCTCCCTGGCCTTATGATGGATGAATTAAATATTTTTATGAATACTAAATTGACATTGTATTTTATCATTAGAGAAGATGGTAGAATTTCATGGCCTATGACATCACCCTTTTACAAACAAATGAATCTTAGTAAAAGAAAATGTTTCCTTTACTTACAGAAGATAATTGGAATTATAGTTGATTATAAAGTTAATAACTTTGACTAGTAGAGTTGAATATATATACTGTATATGTAATACTATTGGGACTTATTAATAAATTGTATGAGATTACAGTAAGTTACAGTAAATTGGCTGCTTTTATATGTGTAATTCAGCAACAATTGGTGAGAATTCAGATATATATTGGCTTCTCATACTTTTCATTAATATTTAAAATGTAGTGAGCTTTGATTGGGTGCTAGAAAACAAAAATACTGGGTTTTAAATAATATACATTTTCACTATAAGCATTTTACCTAAAAAATTTATTGTTGTAACAGTTTATCTTCCAGAAGTAGATATGATATACTTTTGTATATTTTGTATATTGATGTATTGCTGTTCTAGGAGGAAATGTTGAACCCATATCAGCTGAAGCAGTGGGGCTGATAGTACACAGAACAGGTTATTAAGTCACGTGTCTTTCGCTCTTCACTTCTTTAGCTATACTCAGCGTGTGGTTGGAAGTGGAATCAAAGCCCAGGCTGGAAATCCTGAAGTCAGAGTCAGAGGATCTGATCCAGTAATAAATCAGATAATTGACAAATTAAAGCATGTAATACAGGTAAGTGCCGATCCTGTGTATTTATTCATTTGTGTATTATATAGGAAATCACATGCGGCTATTATCTATTATCAGTGATATCTTCATTAATTATATTGAGAATTCTACTTGAAAGGGAATATTGGAATAACTTATGGGTATTTGGGATTTCAGAAATAATTAGTTGAATGTTTTTTATCCAATGTCAATTATGCAATGGTATATTAATGAGAAAAAAATCTATCTGTCAAAACAAGCCAGAACCTTAATATTTCAATGATGAGAATCGCAAGATACACATCATCTTCAGTGGATAAAGTTCACTTTTGTTACCATTAGTGAAAATAGAGATGATAGATTCATTTTCCATATCATGCTGAACAAGAAAGCTATTAAGGTTTCTGTATTCTCAGTAAAATATAAGATGTAAATGAGTAATCTACATTTTTAGTACTTATTTCCTGTGCTGTACCATCCTTTAAATGTTATCTTGTAATCTGTCCAATGGCTCTTTTTGAAATAGACGTACTCTATTTTACCTTTATTAGTGTTATTTAATCAAATGACTCTACACTTCCATTTTTATATATCACATATGAAGCTTAAAGAACGGTTCATTCAAAATGTTGATACTTTGAAACTGCGTATTAAAAAGTTTAAGTGGAGCTACATATTATGTTACATGATGCAAACACTTCTGTTATTTAGGGTTAAATTATCTTTTTACTTACTAGACATTTTGTAACAGTCTATGTGGATGTGGATGTAGTTTTTCATATTTGGAGCAAAATATCTGTGGATAGTTGACACTTTGTGTCAAAAATCATACCTAATTAGGACTGAATTATCCTTATGTATAAAGTACTCTAGAGCCACTCATAATTCCTTGGCAAAGACTAAATTTATGAAGGGCCCTTTATCAGGGCTCTGTGTTTAGGAGTCTCTGTCTCAAGGAGAAGGAATGCAAAGTCTGTACGGGGCTGGTACGGTACAATCAATTTCTTCCTTCCAGGAGGCAATAGTAGCTGACTTTGAGAGCTACGAAAGTCAGTTCCTCTGAGAAACTTAGCATCAGGATTACAGATGAGTAAATGTCACAACCTCTGGTGAGTTGAAAATAATTCCTTCAGGGAAGAATTTCCAGGGTAACATAGGTGACTTTTATTGCCTGTGGGCCATGTGCTAGCATTTCTAGGATCTGAGTAGCCTTGAGGTTGGGACAGGAGGTGGAGTGGCAGTGAAGGAGGGGACAGTGTTAGTAGTGGAGCTGCAGCATGATGGCCAGGGTCACGCAGAAAAGACTGCTGTCGGGAAGCAGCAACACTGGGTCCGCTGAGGCACTCAGCCAGAGTCATCCTACCCACCATGTTTCCTCTATATTGAAACTTTTCTTCCCCACACTTTGAAAAGTAAGGGTATTTCTGTACTTCCAGGTGATGCTGATAATTATCAGAGGGAATCTAATGAGGTTCAGGACAACCTGAGATACAGATTTACTTCTTGAGTTTTTGGTGGCTTAATAAACAATGCATTAGGCACTAGATGTTCAAGCAAAGTGGACTTGTAGTACATGTTGATTAACATGTATCTGATGGTTTTGCAGGAAAAGAATTGGGGTGGGGAATCTGTGGCCATGTTCCCTTGCTATCAATTAGGGAATGGGAAAATTAGGACTGCCTAGGGAAGAATAGAACTGAATTGCAGCTTTAACAAGGCCTCACTGGATCCTAATAGGAACTCAGGCAGGAATGTCCCTTTTGGTGACTGCTGTATTTAAAACCAGTATGTGTCTTTATTCTTCTGCACCAACCAATTATTGGATGATGGGATTATGTTGACAGCTATGAGTCAGCAGCAGCCCATGGCCTTGGTTAGATCCTCCCAGCAATGTCTACTACAAAGTGGTGTGTAAGTGCAGGTTATGTGAAACTGTAGTACGTAGTCAATGATAAAGTAAAAACAGGCATAAGGCTGGTCATCTCTTTTTGCTAAGATACAACAAAATCTTCATGGCTTCTAGAGTTAAGCATTACCCAGGGAGTGAAGAAGATAATTCACCAAATGCAGGGGGAAATGTAGAACTTCAGTGATTATTGATTGTATCTCATTCTCTAAGTATTTTTGGTTGTAGGAAGGTATGTAGACCACAAATATACTAGTGCAAGAAAGCATATGTATAGGTTATGAGTACATGAGCACACATATCAGGTAAGGAAGCATGCTAGCTGTTTGTCGTGGATATATGGGATGAAAGCATCACAGAAACTCTGTGGTAGATAATTGTGATGGAGCTTCTATCACCTGCATGAATGTAAGAGTTCATTCACAAAGAAATATTTAGTTTGTGCCTTCAGCCTTACTTTCTTCCTTTCTTGCTCCGTAGCTTCAAAGCCATAATTTTTCCAGGGCGGCAGAGGGGAAAAAAAAAACCCTTACTTTTCTTTTGTTTTTCATGTTAATTTAGTCTCACTCTTTCATCTGTAAGAGAGTGTGCAGATCTCTAGTTATTCGTAGTTAAGTTTTATTCTAGGGCTACAAGCCAATATCAAACACAATGCCACCTTTGAGGTCTATCTTTTTAAAGTTTACTAAGATGGTATGGTTGAAAATTAGGTTTTTGCAAAAGATTGTAGGAAATCATATTTTGAACATGTGTCACTAACACATACCTAGAACATACTCTTTCATAAACCAACTTCCTAAAGATGAAGAGAAGCTTCTGATTTTACCCGATTTCTGGCTGCTGATAATGTGTGTGAGCCCTGGCTGGGGTTCCTGTCATGCCCTCTGATGGCAAAGGCCATGCAACACAATCTCCTTGGTGGCAGCTACGCAGAAGGCACAGAAAGTGTCTTCTGGTAGTGAGAATTTAGCAACTTGAGAATAGTATGTGCCGGGGGGTGGGGGTGGGTGGAGGCATACATATTTCAAAGGGTAATCCACAGATTTAGATTATAAGTTAGTGTTTGGATACAACTTTTGTATTGTAATAATGTTTCGCTCATTTTTTAACCATTTTCTACAAAAAACCCCACATTTAATAATAATAATAATAAATCTTTTTTTGCCTTTTGTTCAGAGTTGTGTATATGAAAATATGTCAGCCATGTTTCTTTTCTAGGAAAAATTGCCTCCATGTTTTAGCCCCCATATACCTGTCCTTTTGGCCTACTATTGGTCTGAGAGTAGGTTTTCCACCCCATAACTTCCACAAGTGATTGCTAAACACCTGGGTGGAAATTTCACCTTGAAAATGCAACCTTTTAAGTACTAAAATAATTGCTTTATTAAAATTATTCAACATGCACTTATTAAATTCCTGTGTGTGCTGGTTCTAAGTAGGATGGAAAGCTAATATCATCATTATGTATACTATAAGAGGAGCAAGTGTGTGGGCATGTTTTGAGTGGAAAACATGGGTTCCTTAAATCTCCAATGTCTCCTAGATATCAAAGAAGGGAACCCAATCTCCAGAGCCCTTCCTGGTCCTTGTCTTGGTCCAGGAAGTTTATTTTTGTAATCTCATTGATAAATTATTGGAATCCCATGAAATTATTTCCAATCTACCACACCCAGTGCAAGCCATAGAGAGAATAAAGACACTGAGGCATATTTCTAGCTATGGGGAGCCTAAGTCCAGCCATCGTGATGGCTATCCAAAACAAAGGACTGGAGCAGGGCTGAACCCGGGTTTTATTGAGGATGAGTGACGGAGAATGGCAGGAAGGAGGTGAGTACTGTGATCTGGGCTACGTAGGAGGCCTGTATTTACCTCTGCAATGTGCAGAGAGTAAGCTGCCTTACCATCTAATGTTTCGCGGTTGGTACTTCAGCATTGTTGTGTAATCTTTTCAGCCCCAGGAAGTCATAGCCTCTGTCTCGAGACCTGATCCTAGCCAAGAATGTGCAGCATTGGCTCTTCCTACCTTCTGGATCTGGCTCACATTAAAGAGCAGCAGGTGGAGGTTTCTGGAGAAACACACCTGCCATCTTCAAAGACTCGCCCCAGCTGGACTCATATGCATTGCTTAAAGCCAGTTGAAGGGATAAGGAAGAGTCCTAGCCAGCTCTGCACACTTCAATACATGGAAACAGGGTCAGGCACAGCCAAAATGGAGACAGTTGCTCTTCTTTCAGAGAGAGTTGCCCAGGTGGTCCTCCACACCCCAAATTCAGTGGAGACCACATTTGGTTGTCAGCACAAGGATATTATTTAATTGTAAAACTATGAAGTCACTTCTTTCCTGCAGAGTATAAACTCACATCAGAAATTTTGGAGGATATAAGACAGCATGATTATTTGAAAAATGCTTTACAGAATACGTGAACACTGTAAATGTTTTGTTAAATGGATCTGGTACCTCCACACATGCTTAGAATGTTCATCTAGAACACATGTGCTGCTATGACTTGGGATTATATGTCACCCACCACCTAAGACAAAAGCAAAAACAACAGCAAAACCCTTGTTATGGTTTGTGTCTAGGTGTCCCCTCAAAGCCTCGTGCAGTCTTGGAGTGGCTTCTGGAGTTTGTGATTGATTACTGTGGGTGTGGATGCCACACCTGCCCTGGGGCAGGTAATCTGCATTACAATGTAAGGAGGGAAGAGAAGCCAGCTGCTTGAGCTGCTGCTACCCCTCCCTTTTGCACTCTTGCTCTTTGCCCCCTCTTGGAAAGGTTGCTTTCTGCTATGTGCTGCTCTGCTTTGGAGCCAGCTGAGTATAGACTGAAACCTCCAGTAACTGTGAGCTAAATAAACCTTTCCTTCCTTCATTTTGGGTGTCGGGAATTTGTCCCAGCAACCAAAGAAGAGTAACTAAGACAACCCTCATGCAAACATAGGTGGAGGTTTTCTCAGAAGTGGATGAATCTAGACTATGTGAGTCATTCATGGTGCAAGGCTAGGATCGAGGGTGCTAGGATTAAGGATGCATGACTTCTAAATCAGTCCTCTGATTGGCTTGGCACTGCCTTCATACTGGTAGCCTTGACACAATATAAGGGATAGAAGAAGGCTTG